ATCACCAGAGAACCACTAAATGGATTGCTCCACATTTGGAAGAAAATCAACCAGGGGTGGAGAAATAGGAAACCAAAATAACTATTCCAGGAAATGATGTTATTCATCCATATTGAATGTGGTTCAACAGCTTTCACTTATTGATGTCTAGCTAGGCTGCTGTGGTATTCCTTTTGCAGTGCAAGATGGCATGTCAAACTATACTCATTTTGTCTTCACCCTTAAACCAATGCTTTCATCTGGATTTGATATGGGCTCCTTCCCCCACCCCGCTTCCCTGGGAATTTTAAATGAACAATAATTGTCTGCCTTGGAATCAGTCTTGGCTGCTGATGACAGCCAGGAGAAATCAGGGCTGTTTTTATTAGCAACATTCTTGGAAGTGCCCTGCTTTGCTCTCTTCCAAAAGCTGAGTTCAAGCACCTGGTCCACAGTCAACCAGATGCCTTAGTGCATAATCTGGGACTAAAAATCATGGTGTCCCAGTGTCCCGAATTTTCATGAAATATTTTGAATTGCAAGGAATTTCCTTTGTTCCAGTTACTTCCAAATTGTTATATTTCTTGAAGGTGTGTAGAACATTTGCACAGTCTAGCAAAACAAAACCTAGGAAACCATGATATGTAAAATAATTTTCAGATGGTAAACCACTTCATAGTTCAGAGACACCTGTAGCAACCATGCTTTCCTTTGAATTTTCGACTATGGGAGCTTAGTAGTTTTTCTTCTCCCCCCCCTTTTTCCCCATATGATGAAGATCTAATTTTTATTTTCTCAATCAGGGTGAAGTATAGTAAATGGGGCATGAGTACAGCATGAGTACAGTGTTCAGCACCCCCGGCTAATTGAGGGTGTTTTGGAGCAAGGAGGGTGGTTCAGGCTAAGGCTTTGTTCTCAGTAGGTTTCCCAAAAAGAGGTGTCCTCAGTCATTTTCTAAAGCACCAGCTGGTATAAACAGTGAGATTTCATGGAAAGCAGGAGCACTCCTATGCAGTGTTCTCATACATAAGGTGTTTAATACAAAATGTTGACTTAGTCAGTCAGACCTAGTTACAAAATGGAGCAGCAACAGTACTTAAGGACAACCCAACCAGAAGTCACTGGAGTTTGTGACCTTACTTGGAAAGCCTGGTCAAGAGCTGAGGAGCTGTATTAATGTCTTACAGATATGGGGTAGCTAAGACCCTTCCTAGCAAATGTCAGAAATTAATTTCATAAGAGAGCAGAAGTAGTTTCTGTATTAATGTCTTACAGATATGGGGTAGCTAAGACCCTTCCTAGCAAATGTCAGAAATTAATTTCATAAGAGAGCAGAAGTAGTTTCTGTATTAATGTCTTACAGATATGGGGTAGCTAAGACCCTTCCTAGCAAATGTCAGAAATTAATTTCATAAGAGAGCAGAAGTAGTTTCTGTATTAATGTCTTACAGATATGGGGTAGCTAAGACCCTTCCTAGCAAATGTCAGAAATTAATTTCATAAGAGAGCAGAAGTAGTTTGGTGAAGGAAGAGCAAGGAATGAACATTCTTTTTAGACATAGACATATTTCCTTAAACAGATTTCCATACATTGGAACTGTGAAAATAAAGAAGATTATTTCTTCTTGCATGGAGACCACTGGAGATTTCCAGAGCTTTATCCTTCTTTGCCACGCTGAGAAACCTCTCAGAGGAAAGAAATTGAAGCCACTTCCTTAATACTGCCTAAAAAACTGCACGATTGTATCTGTGCAGTCACCAAGAGTTAACTGTCCCTATGATATTCATCTCCCATTTATAGAGTTTCCATCTAGATTTATGCAAAATCACCCTCACTTTCACTTCTCATTTAAACCCTCAAAGCTTCCCAACTCATATAGACAGGTTCATCTCAAAGAACCCTTCAGAGATCCAGCCATTTCTCCACAATGGGATCCTTCTTTCCAGTTCTCCTCATGCTGGCTCTCTTCTGTTCCTGTGCGTTCGTTTTGCTTTATTTTTTTTTAATTTCTTTAGCTTCTTTAATTGAAGTGAAGCTGTACTTTTTAACAGTGGCTGTGATTTTGTAACTCTGATCTGATCCTGTTCTTCCTTCTCTGTTTAGGAGGCCTCTCCCAAGTAGTCCTGACCCAGTCAGATCCAGCGCTGAAGAAACCAGGAGAAGCCCATAATCTGACTTGTGCTGTCACTGGATACAATGTCAACAGCTACTGGATGGCTTGGATCAGACAGAAACCTGGGAAAGGCCTGGAATGGCTTGTTGACTCTTACAGCTCTGGTAGCAACTATTATTCCCCATCCATCCAAGGACGATTTACTGCCTCCAAAGACAGTTCCAACTTCTACCTGCAAATGA